ATCCTCCTCATCATCGTCACTTTTCTGGTTCATCATCATCCTCCTCATCATCATCACCTTTCTGCTATCGTCTGCCGTGATATTCCATTGTAGGATTGCGTGATTGATGGGAGGTGGTGGTGGGAAGGTTCCATTGTGTGAATACGTGGGGGTGGTGGGGTGTCGGGTATGCGCTCGCGTCGTGAGCTGATCGGCGATTGTCGGCAGCTGTCGCACGTAATTCTCTGCAAATTGTCACGGCGACAGAAAGAACGAAGAGAACGGGGCGAGTCGAACTAATATCGGGTAAAATTTCTAGCTTTTTAAGCTTCGCGTTGTTCCAGCGACGCTGTGGGAATACCGACGGAAAGCTGACGGGAATGGTGTGGGAGGGAGTGCGAGGTGAAACGCACGGAGGAATGGGATGAGGTGGAAGGAGAGAGAGAGAGAGAGAGAGAGAGAGAGAGATATATATATAAATGGCAAAGGGAGTGAAACAGAGCGGGGAAGGCGAAAGAGAGGGAGAGGGACAGAGAAGGGAAGGAGAGCGAGCGACTGAGAGACAGATGTGGAGAGAATGAGAGGGGGATAGTGTGCGAGAGAGAAGAGACGGGGAAAGGAGAGAGAGCGAAGAGAATCGGAGAGGAGAGAGAGAAAGAGAGAGAGAGAGAGAGAGAGAGAGCGAGAGAGAGAGAGAGAGAAAGACAGAAAAAGAGAGGGGGTATAGTGAAAGAGAGCGTTCTCAGCAGCTTGTACACGTATCTATCTGTACTTCATTATGCTATACGTCGTTTTCATCGTGAGGGTTTGATGTGTGTAACTTCGCAAGGATAAATGGCGTGTACATGCGCGGTCATATAGCCGTCATACCAGATCATTCGCGTAGTTTGCCTTGATTTATTGCTTCTGATCACACGTGAATGCCCTCATAACATAAACATCACTGGTCTTCTTTCTGCGATCACGTGGTCTCTCTAATGTAAATATTTGGTTTCTATAATCTCTGCTGACCGTTATAGAACCAGGCGTAATGATGGCGCTAGAAAATTTTCGTGGTTTTTGATAACGTGTGTTATATTTGTGTTTGTTTTTCTCTCTTAGCCGGATCTTAGGAAGTACAGTCCCTACCCACCAGCTGGATCAGGCGTAGCTAAATGTCCGTTCAACCCCAACGACCCTTCCACTGCCGTGTGGATAGGTGAGCTGTTGTTATCGTCATGATCGCGTACACTGTGTGTTCCTTGTGCAGTTTATTACTCAGTACACAAGTGCTCTTGTTAATTTTTATGTTAAAATTGTTTGTATGTTAAAATTTAATTTGTTTAATACATTAATTCACTCGTTTATTTCTTTATTTATTATTTGTGATATCAGTTTTGTTTGTTTGTTGCTGCTGCGGAGAATGAGGGCTGTTGTTGTTGTTGTGTTTGATTCGATGTCATGCTCCGTGTTTAAATAACGTTCGTTTGTTTTTCGTGCTGCAGAGAAGGGTAACCCTAGCGACATCCCGTCCCTCTACTCGGGCACCCAGGCACACTTCTCCAGCGACCCACTCATCTACCGGCCGAGTCTCTTCAACGACGACCTTCCGCTACACGACTTCATACGTACCTCTCCCTCCGACTCGAAATGGCTCAACCGTAAGTATACGCACATGGGAGGGGAGAAAGGAGGGGCATGGATGGGGAGGGTGTAGTGAGTGTATTCAGCAAGTACCTTCATCCAGGCGATTTCATATGTACCTCTCCCTCCGACTCGAAATGGCTCAACCGTATGTACACGCGCTGGGAGAGGGAGGAGGGGAGAAAGGAGGGGCAGGGATGGGGAGGGGGTACAGTGTATTGAGCAAGAACTTTTCTCTGGGCGACTTCATATGCACTGCTCCCTCTGACTCCAACTGGCCCAATACACACGCGGGGAGGGGAGAGAGGAGGGGGAGGAGGGGCAGGGATAGAATCATAGAGAATGTGGAAAAGAAATTGTTTTTATATATATATTCACTCGCGACATAATACATAATAACAGATAATCTTGCGCATGTCGGAACCCACAACGACGCCCCGCCATTCTTCACGATCTTAGTAACTTTGTCCATCGCTGCAGAGCTCAAGTTTTTATTTACTCCTGACATAATACACAGTAACCAATAATCACTAATCAATAAATAATCAATAAATTAATTAATAAGTAATCAATAAGCTCGTGTCGTAACCGCGACGACACTCTGATGAGATGATTCGTGATTCTTTACGATCTAACCTCACGTCCTTCGTCGTCCGCAGAGCCGAAGTTTGTCGGATCATTCGACATGGGCGACTACGTCTACTTCTTCTTCCGCGAGACGGCTGTCGAGTACATCAACTGCGGCAAGCGCGTGTACTCGCGCGTCGCGCGCGTCTGCAAGAAGGATAATGGCGGACAGAACGTGCTCATGCAGCACTGGACCACCTACATGAAGGCGCGCCTCAACTGCTCCATCCCGGGAGCATTCCCGTTCTACTTCGACGAGATACGTGAGTGTGCGGGCGGGCGTGCGTGCAGGGGTGTTTTATAGTATTATAGTTTAAAAAGAATTATTAAGCCTTAGACTGTATATATAATGTTATTATATTCTATATTTCTACTTCTATTTCTAATATGTTCTACTTCGACGAGATACGTGAGTGTGCGGGCGGGCGTGCAGGGGTATTTTATAGTATTATAGTTTAGAAGGTATCATTAAGCTTTAGACTGTATATATTATGTTATTATACTCTATATTTCTACTTCTATTTCTATTCTGTTCTACTTCCACGAGATAGTAGAATTTTATAGTATTATAGTTAAAAAAATATTATTAAGCCTTATACTGTATAATATATTGTGGCTTTTGCGATTCATACAGATATTATTTCCAGAAAGTGCGAGATTTTCTCGCTGACATTATATTATATTATTTTATATTATATATTATTCTCTCTTACAGAGGACGTCTACAGGTCGCCGGACAATGACACGGTGTTCCATGCTGTCTTCACAACATCTCTGTAAGTACTGTGGTGAAATTATTTAGCTGTGAATATTTAACATTAAATCTCTCCCTCACACACACGTACGCGGACGCAGGCACGCATGTGCGCACATGCACGCAACCATCCATCAACACCAGCATTCACGAGCAGAATGTCTCGCTAACACTTTACTTTAATCTGATTTGGCTTGCCATTAGCGTCGTCATGCGAGTGACTATTAACGTGTTTTAATCGAATTAACTATAATGTCTCACTCGTAACTGCGTATATTTCGCTCACACCCTCCGCGGCAATGTAATGCGTCATTATGGCCATCGATCAATTAGCCAGCGATGATGCCACCTAGAAAGACATCTCAGCGAGCGCGCGCGCATGCGAGGCAATCAATCCGACTGATCCAGTCTTAATGAATGCCAGATAAACGACCACGTGTCAGCACCACGCGTCGTTGTCGTTGCTGTTGTTGTCGTTCTCCTAGCGTTGTTACTGCTGTTAAAATCTTCTCTCTGAACAAAATATCGTGTTAGGATGTAAATGTACATTCACGTCACAGATCGATTGCATCATCATAGATGCGTGTATGTGGATGCGCGATGTGATAGTAACAGGAGTAATGTATATTTCGTATCTGTTGCTCACACGTCTAAAACGTATCCACACATTTCACATACATCTCACACTTTCCTCACACGTATCGCACACATATTTCACAAATATTTCACACGTCTCACACGTCTCACACATATCACACATATCACACATATATCAAATATGTACACACGTATCTCACACGTCTCTCACACGTCTCTCACACGCTTCTCACACGTATCTCACACGTATCTCACACGTATCTCACCCGCATGAACGGTCTCGTCGGCTCGGCGGTGTGCATGTACAGCTTCTTGTATCTCACACGTATCTCACACCTACCTCACACGTATGCCCGCAGGAACGGTCTCGTCGGCTCGGCGGTGTGCATGTACAGCTTCTTGTATCTCACACGTATCTCACACCTACCTCACACGTATGCCCGCAGGAACGGTCTCGTCGGCTCGGCGGTGTGCATGTACAGCTTCTTGTATCTCACACGTATCTCACACCTACCTCACACGTATGCCCGCAGGAACGGTCTCGTCGGCTCGGCGGTGTGCATGTACAGCTTCTTGTATCTCACACGTATCTCACACCTACCTCACACGTATGCCCGCAGGAACGGTCTCGTCGGCTCGGCGGTGTGCATGTACAGCTTC